TGCATTTCTGCGGTTGGATGTGTGTGTGTGACTCCATTTCAGAAAAGTAGTGCAGAAAGGGAAAATACCACCCAAAGTGGAAGATTCCATAAATGTCCCATTCTATGTCTATAAATAGAAAAGTCTCTTCTATACAGTGAAGTAAGAGGCTAGCAAAATAGGAAAGAAGAGGATATTACATTTCCCCAGAAGTACAGCATCTAGATGTTTGTCTTGGAGGTGATTGAAAAGAACCTGTGTACTGCCCTGGGCCGGGAGATATGGCAGGTGTTGTTATGGTTTCCTCCTTGGTTTCTGTTTTCTAGTGGTAATGGAAATTATAGCAAGAAGGCAGCTGGCTCTGGAGACGTGCTAGTCTCTGCTAGAAAGGCTTTCTTAGGCTGAATTTTTTAATGTGAAATACAAAAAAGTTCCACCTTTAAAATTAATTTATAATAACCAACTACTGTATTTTCCATTTCCATTTTATTGTGAATAATTCAATTATACAAGTAACACCAAAAATATAGTAATTTTTGCAGAAGTTGAGCATTACTGAGAAACGTGTCAATTTCTATTCTTTTCTCCCTCTGAGCACCTGATAATCTTCATCAGACGCTCTTGCCTATGAATCACCAACGCGATGAGCTTAGAGTCCATTTCTCCAGGATTACCCAGAGCCTTACAAAATATTTTCAGTTAAATTTCTTTTTGGTAATCAGTTTTGTTTTGTTTAAATAATTTTAAGGGAAATGTTAAATAATATGGGGCTATGACAATAAGTACTTCCCAATGTTGTATGTATTGATTTGTTGAGTTTGATATACATTATTAAAATTTTCCAGTTTGTCACCTTCAGCAGTTATTTCTCTTGCTGGGACTGAGAGCACGTGGTGAAGGTGTCATTAGAACCCAGAACAAGAGAGAATCTGGCTACATTCAGCAGCCTGGAACCCCCCTGTCAGGGCCTTCAGCCTTTAGTATTTAAGCTGTATGCTTGTTTTTTAGAGACTGGAGGATCTGAACTAGCTGATTCTTTCCCCAGTCTCCCAATCCTCATGCATACTAGACTTTACTGCAAGGTAATCCATTCCCACACAACAAATCTGGGAAATAACATACAATCCCCAAATAGCTCGGTGAACTCGGAAGTAAAGAAGCATCAAAAGCTATCAAGAGACACAGAAAACTACCCTTTAAGACTGCATCCGTGGCCTACCTACCGTCCCTGTCCATGCATGACCACTGGTGGCAGAGAGCCTGGCATCCCTGGGAACTCAGAAGTACAGATATGGGGAGCAGTAGGAGCCAGGGTTCAAAGGGCTATTGTTTTCAAGTTCAGCAGAAGAGAAACTCAAGTCAATCAGTTATTTACAAACAAACAGTTGAGTAGATACTAAATTTAACACATATTACCTTGTTGAGTAGATACTAAATTTAACACATATTACCTTGTCGGTATAAGATGAACGCAGAAGCCTGGAGACAGGAGAATGGAAATGGGAAAAAAATGGGAGTTTGGGAGCTAAAGCACCACTGAAAAAACTGATCAATATTAATCATGATAAATCACTGGGTGCCTTCATTAGAGCCTGCTAAGCATCTATGTTCTGTAACTTAAGTTGCAAAATGTGGAGTGCATTCTCATGATTCAATCCTCTGGTTGGACTATGGCTAGGCTAGTAAGTAGGGAAAACTGGGCTATGTGATTCAAGGAATGTTTACTAGAAATTTACACATGTGTATATATGTATTTATGCAGGCATGAGTATGCATTTGTGTGTACATGTTGCACATACACATACATACACATGGTAGATAAATACATGTGCACCTGTGTCTTCATCTCATTAGCTTTGTGAATGAGATTTGTTCCTAAGAGAGGTATATTTCCAACTCAGTATGCTGACTTGAAGTTTCTCAGGCTATAAGTTTTAATACAGACTCCAGATTGTGGTAAACTCATAAAAATAATAAAAACCACCTGGTCTTCCTGCTGCTATTTCTTCTTTGACATATTTTATATCTGCCATCAGAAATAACTATAACCACCGCCTGGAAATCTGGGCTCACTTAAAATGATCTGAGGAAAAGAAAATGATGGACTACAAATATTCATTTTTCAAACTGACCCCAAGGAATCAGGTTAACTTGGAAGAAATATCTAGGATACTTTTGTCCCCAATTACCACACCAAAGCCTCCTTGTACTTAAAGAACAGGTGATCACATTCTTTTTTTTTTTTTTTGGTTGGTCATGGGGCTTGAACTCTGGGCTTTGGTGCTCTCCCTCAGCTCTTCAGCTCAAGGTGAGCACACTACCACTTGAGCCACAGCTCCACTTCCAGTTTTCTAGTGGTTTATTGGAGATAAAGAGTCTCACGGACTTTCCTGCCCAAGCTGGCTTTGAACCATGATCCACAGATATCAGCCTCCTGAGTAGCTAAGATTACAGGCGTGAGCCACTGGCGCCTTTTAAAAAATAGGTAACTGACAATGGAGATCTTGTAAGGATTCAATAATTCAAACTCAAGAATATGCATTGGTTGATATGTCCTTCAAAGAACTCTGCAAGTCAACAGTTTTGAGTTTAAAACTTGTGAAGGGTGGAATGCTGCAGCTTCTTCACAAGGTTTACCACATGCAAGGAAGTATGAAAGGCCAGGCCTGGAAGACAGATGTGCTCCCAGCCATGTCTACCACTGCTGTCTCAGAGCCCAGCTTTGTGCTGCTAGGCTGAGCTTCATCTGCAGTGTGGGACGGCTGTGTGGGTGTAGTGTGGATGCCATCGTCATGTCAGCAACATGTCTACCTTGAATCATGAACAGGACTTGAGGATGTCTCCCCACCTTTGCTTCCCAGATCACCATGTGAATCATTTTACTGAGTAAACATGGAAGCAACACAGCAACTACAGCTCACAGGCTTCAGTTCTGAAACGCAGTCTAAACACTCACAAAACCCTGGCCATGTTGTCTCAGCAGCTAACGCTTTCCCACACTGTCGCTTTGTGGAACAAGCTAGAGATCGTTCCACAACTCAGGCAACGGCCTTCAGCCATCTACTGTCATTTGGAGCCATCCTGGGAAGATTTCTTAGGATCCTGTTGCCCCTTCTAAGCCAAGTACAAGCTCCCATGTGGACTTTCCTCTACTCTGAGTCAGGACAGAATCTCTGTCCCATTCTTCTTTCAATCTAATTTCTTGGTGTCATCTCCTCAAGGTTCCCCCATTGGTCCAAGCAATAGAAACCTCTGCTAGCCATGAAACATAGCCATCCAAAGCACAGGGCCACAATCTCCAGGCCTCAAAACAGCTACTGAAAGCTGATGATGACAGAGTGAACACGGCTGTTTATGATCTGTCCACAGGAGTGCAACGCATGGATAACATGGCTAATATGGACAAGATGTGCTTGCTTGATCCAACATTCGTCAGGACACCATAGTTGGCATTATGGTTCATTATCACCAGACCCAGAAATAAAATACCACTTACCTACTCCATGCCATGCATCACTGTTTATAGGTTCAGTTTGTATTTAAAAAATTATTAGTCCGTGGCACAAACATTACCATTTACAATTTTAGCATGACTATTTTGACAGAAGTAATGTAAATATTCTCATGTTTTGGTTTTGAACGCTTGCTAGGAAGGCATTTTTGTGTTAGTTATTTTGGGGATGAGCTCTCTCTCATTTCTGTGTGGGCTGACCCGGACCCTGCTCCTTCTCACGACACGGGCACGACTTCCACATCACGCACTGATTGGTATGGAGTCTCACCATGTTTTTGTTTTTTGTTTTTTGCCTAGGATGGCAGAACTTCAGTTCTTCTGATCTTCGCCTCCTTGGAAGTGGAGACTATAGAAATGAGCCACTATGCTTGCTCCCTCATATCTTTTTGGTACTTAATGAATTGTTGACTGTGGTACATGAAATCTGCAAGTTTCTGATGAGTGATCCATTCAAGCAGAGCCATAATTCCTCAGTGACATTATAAAATATGGCTAGTGCATAGGGTTAATTAAAATGAAGCTGTTTATACCTCACTTATAGAACATACATAGGATATGATGATGAAAGGCATTATGAATATTACATTACTCATATTTAACAAAGCCCTCTTCTGTAACATGACAGGAAAGTCATCAAGTTTTACATGAATTACAGCATCCTGTTGCTTACGATCACCTAAGCAAGACAGTAAATACAAACTAAATAAGCAGGTGAGCATAGATGAATGAAGTGCTAAAAGTGATTTGATCAACTTTCCATTAAAAAAAAACTAAACTAAAAACAGACTTCATCAAAACTCAGCCGCGGAGTAGGAAAGCTCTTGCTCTTAACAAAATGTGATGGTGCATTTTTATTGGAAAGAAGGATCACTATGAATAAAGTGAGCCAGTCAACATCACACTCCCCTTTTAATATTAGCATATTAAAAGGAAAATTGACATAATTTTCATAAATTTATAATTGCACCTAATGTCTGCCAGGCTTACGACTGAATAGAGAGCTGTCACAGGCCTTGGTTTGCTTTTCATCAAAACTCTAAGGAATTTGCATTTGTAAAAAGAAATTAGACTACTTTATAGAGGGTCACAGAGGTCATAGAAGTCATACAGAATGATCATTTTTAGAGCAAATGAATTTTTATTCACGTTCTCAAAAAATCTTCTTTATACCCTTTATAATACAGCTGACTCTAAAATTTTTTGAAACCCCATGTGAAATTAGTCTGTTTTCAAATTATACATTCAGCATAATAGAACTCAACTAAATTAACTGTAGTGTGGTTGACCATTTTAGACTTCAAAACAGGCTATGTTTTAAAGAAAATATCTTTTCCTTTTTAGAATTTAAAAAGGATAAGAACACTGTAGATGTGACTTTAAATAGAACTGGAAAATACCTTGAAAATTTGTCATGTCTTAACAAAAGATTTGGTATTGCAAAGATAGAAAACTGTGGGAGAAGGAGAGATAGGTAGAAAAAAATTAAAGAAAACCAGCTCCTACTTACCAGGTGTGAAATTGTATCTAGCTGAGAATCCCATAGACTCCAGCTCTCCATCAGCAAAAAATTTAACCCACAGGAATCTTCCACTCGATTTGATGACAGGTGGGTTTTGCTGTCCACAGAATCGTCCAATTATTGGAGAAAAGCCAAAGGGTCCGTCCCGAACTTCAATGTGATCAAATTTACATTCCCAGGATGGCTCAATAGAGTATTTTTCATCAAAGTAAAGTTCAATGCACTGCCTTGGGGCGGCTGTAAAAAGAGAAAGATGGTCTCTGGAAGGCCATTTCTTAAATCTTGAGGTGGGTTCTATTTCAAGTTTTATGTGTGTACCTTTTATCATACTGTGCAGTCAGTTTACATGGAGATACAAAGAAAGGAAATGATACTACCCTATGGGATATTACCATTAAAAAAAAGTCTTCTGTTAGGTGATCCTTAAAGCTGGTGGTATTGCACAAAACATTACTGTGATTTAAAAAACAACTGTTTCGATATCTAACACAGAACTGACTGATACCAGATTATAAAGTGGAGAGAAACTGTTCTCTTTTACTGTATCCCAAAGCACTAGAGAACTATTCAGAATGGAAGCACACAGTCATTCATGGAGTTGCAGTCAGGTGTCCTGATTAGATGTATGTATCCATGCAAAGGTATCTTGAGTAATTTGTCCAGATGACAAATCTGATCACGTCAATCTAATGGGAACATCAGCATTTCTCTATTTGCTGCTGGCCAGTGATGGGTGCACCTGACATACAAGAGCCTAGAGGGTCCTAATACCACAGACATCAAGGATGCAAGCTGTGTTCTCTAAGACCACCTGCCATGCTGGCATGCCCACTCTTGCTTGCTTCCTTGAATATCTATGTACCTTCAATTTAGCTCATCTTTATCCAGGAAGGTCTTGTCTAAAGTAACCTCCTCCTGGGGCTGGGAAGGTAACTCAGTGGTAGAGTGCTTGCCTGGCATGCATGAAGCCCTTGGTACCACATAAATGGAAAAAATGGTGCTGTGGTTCAAGTGGTAGAGCACTAGCCTTGAGCAAAAGAAGCACAGGGACAGTGCCCAGGCCCCCTTAATATGGGCCTTGTTGCTGAGGATTTCAGAAAACATTTTGCGAGGATGATGAGTCAATGTATCTTCAAAGCCCCTTTTAAAGCTAAGATATCATTGGAGAAGCCTTCTGAGCTAAGATCTACTCTGAGTATGGGTGTGCATGATCTTCTGTCACCATTTCCAAAGGCAGTCCAAATCTTGTTATATTCAGCCACAATACTCCAAAACACCCATAACATCGTACCTCAGTACAAATTTATCAACCCAGTGACCCCCTGTCATGAGGAGTCCTCAGAGAGCTTCCAGGCTACTTGGCCCTCTCTTCAGAGCACAATCCCTTCCAGAAAATTGATAGTTAAGATGACCACAGCACAGCCTGCTGCTTATGTGCTCAGCATCTTCTCTCAAAGACTGTCTATGCCCCGCTGCTTCCTAAATACATACTGATTATCACCCTTAATAAACTCAAAGCTAAGGCTTTACATGCATGGATTTCTAAAGTGTACAGAGGCTTCTAAGTTGGAGAGTCTTGGAATAAAATTTAATCCTATTGCTCATCAAGTGTAGAAGTAAAATTCAAAGATTATTCTATGAATTATCTTACTCTGTAAAAATATGCTCATTAGACATTGAAAAGGGACATTGATAGGTCTTTCTAAGGAAGATTAGGTCATTTTATTTGAATTTTTTATTTTTTGCGGGGTACGGTCATGGGGCCTGAACTCTGGGCCTGGGCACTGTCCCTCAGCTCTTCAGCTCAAGGCTAGTGCTCTTCCACTTGAGCCACAGCGCCACTTCCGGCTTTTTCTTTTTGCTTATGGGGTGCTGAGGAATCAAACCCAGGGCCTCATGCGTGCAAGGCAAGCACTCTACCACTGAGCTACCTTCCCAGCCCCAGTTTATTTGAAATTAATGTGTGCCACAAAGGTTGGTTGATATAGTAGATGATGACAAATTTGTAGGGTTTACCATTAACTTATCTGCAAATTTTAAAATATTCCAAAAATTTACCTCGAAAAATCACATTTTCTTCCCTAGTGTATTAGTCTAGAAGACAAAGGGCAAATGGTTATTAGTCCTATGTATGTATCAATTACTAAATAAATCATCTGTATGCATTATTCCAACAACACAGTGTGTTTGCTTGGTTATCTCCTCTATGTTAAGCCAAAATGATATGTTTATGACAAAACAGGAAAGATTATTTCAGAACATGGAATCGCTTTCAGGTATAGATCATGGATCTGTTTAGAAGGGAAAAGCAAGGAGATCAGTCAGCCGACTGCTACATCACTTAGAAATCTGTCTGTCCTCAATGTGCAGCTTCCCTGAGCAGAAGACGCCTGGCTGTCCCGCATGGATTCCATTAGCCTTTCCTCCACATCCCCCGCCATTCAGTTTCAGCCCAACTTCTGCACATCAACCTCTCTTTGCCTATTCTGGGACCCTATCATCATTCGAACTTTCGGTATGTCACATTCTGTGCAGATCATTTATTTTTCCTTTCCATTTGTTACTTAGGTTTACATGTGTTACATATATACCCACCTCTGAAAATTCTATTAGCTGAATTTCAGGGGGTAGTAATTAACTTTTTCAAACTAACTATTCCATGTGCTTCTTGTGGATAGAACATCAGGCAGTTGTGGCAGAGATGGAAGCATCCTGATTCTGACATCTGAGCCTTCCCTTCTCCCCGCTTCAAGCTGCCCTCCGTCCTTCGAAGTTTCCCCACGCTGACTTTGATCTACAACTTAGGTTCCCTTTAGAGCTCTGTCTCTTCGAAAACCTTTGTCCCTGCTGTGCACCATGAGCACTTTTACAGAGAGAGGGTGTATACCTACGGCTTATTTCCCCAAGTCACGGGAGTTTTAGGCCCTCCTGAAATCCATTCAAGAATCCTCCCCTTCGCTATCTTCTTTACCACAACCTGCCTGAGCTCAAGCGAGCTGACCACCTCCCTCTCTCTCCCTCTCCCTCCTTCTCCCTCGTTCTCTCTTTCTCCCTCATTCTCCCTCGTTCTCTCCCTCTCCCTCGTTCTTTTCTCCCTCTCTCCCTCTCCCTCGTTCTCCCTCGTTCTCTCCCTCTCCCTCGTTCTTTTCTCCCTCTCTCTCCCTCTCTTCTACTTGCAGTTTACCTTCTTTTTCTCCTACTAAGCAAGCCATTCTTTTTAAAGATAAACATGTACACTGAATGCTGCAAGAAAGAAAAAGGCAAAGAATGGAAAGATGGGCCTGTCACTTTGGTCCCACAGACTCCTCAGGGCGTGCGGCCCACTGTCTGCTTAGTGACACTGCTCATCTCCGTGCCAACCGCCTTTCAGCTGCCTCACCCCTCCCCCTACTTCCAGTTTTTACCTTATTCTTCTTTGCTGTGACAGTGGACACTCGAGCAGCTCTCGCTTCTCTAAACTCCATCTCCATCAGATGCCGGCACAGCCTTGACCCCATTCTTCCCCCCAACTCCCAGGCTTCTGGTTCTAGTCTGTGGCTTTACTCCGTGGCCCGTCCCTCTCTATTACTTTCTAGAAATCTAGTCCACATCCTCCCTCCTCAAGCCTAGAGCCAGTATGCTGTGTTGGCATAGGCTTGTCAGTGTGGTACAATTAAGACCTAATGATTCTCTAGCTGGTGGTGATGGATTATGCCTTTAGTGCCATCTATACAGAAAGCTGGGGTAAGAAGGATTGTAGTTTGAGGCGAGACTGCTTAAAAACTTTCACAAGATTTCATCCCAATGGAAGAAACTGTGCCTGGTAGCAGGCACCCATCAGCTCAGCTGTGGGAGGGAGTTTAAAGTAGGAGAATTGTGGTCCAAGCATGAGCCCAAATAAAGAGTAAGACTCTTGATCCATGCAAAATAGGGCTGGAGACTTGGTTCAATAGTGGAGCGCCTGTCAGCAACCTGGAGGTCCTGAATTCAACCCCCACTTCCAAGAAAAAAAGAAAAAAAATCTAATGACTCCTGAAGGTCTACTTAAGATCAACTAAGTGCCAATTCCAGGGAACGGCCCATGCCATGCATCTATACTTTCATGAGTTGAAACACAGTTCAACATCTCAATAGCCTCCTCTCCATTTCTGCCCTATCCATCTACATGGCCAGTACAGATTTACCCCACTGTCTCCCCGGGAGACATCTCCAATAATGCCCAAATTGAACAACACATTGTCTTTTCTCTGAGGCCCTTTCCCCACCGTCACGTCTTATCTGCTGCCAGGCATCTTACCAAGCACCTTCCTCCTTTCCTGGAGTGGTCATGAGATGGTTCTAGTCTCTCCTCTCACCTCCAGTCACTTAAAATGCACTTTCTTAAATGCTTTCCACTTCTTTCAATGGCTCCATGACCAGAGCCACTTACTTTAGTTCAGGGTGTTGCTATTTTTTGCTTGGCTTTTTTTTCTATAGCTTATGTTCTTTTCTTTCAGTATTCCTAATCAAAATAAATAACTGTCAGTTATCCCTAAGCAAAACAGGAAAGCTAACATCCCTCCCTCATGGTCTTTTCTTTCGTCTTCCTATCCCAGCCATCCTTTGCCAATCTTGTTCTCTTTCTATTATTTACTGAAAGGACCTGAGTTTCCAGGCCATATTTTAAGCACTGCTCCAGGACTTCTACTCTGTACCTAGAAGAACAGTTATTCAGTACTTGTTACACAAGTAAACGGAGTTTTTTAAAAAAGAATTTAGAAACAGGTTAACGGGAAGGTGCTATTTATTTCCACACAGTTATTTATCTTAATCCTAGAGCTAAACACAAGTAAATGAGAATATATGCATGATCATGAGGACATACGCAAACTGCAACCATCAACGTTCATCAATACTTTCAAATGCCCCTGAAATTCATGCAAAAAGATAATCTACATTCAAAATTTTGTTCTGAGTTAATCTTTGAAATCAAGAACTGAATAAACAATTTTATATTTTGAACAATTCAGAATTTTAAGACAACTCTCTCAGTTTTACAGAGTACATTGAATATAATGACCGTATTTGTTCACCCTTCCTCCTTCCAACATACTTCAACTTCCTGGCATACATTTCATTAAAGGGTTCATTAGCTGGCAAGAACAGTTACACTACTGGACTTCTCCCTTACATATACCACCTTTCAGTCAACCTATTTTTGTATATATGCACATAACTCTATGTATGTCATAAGGCAGGCTTGTATTTTAGATCTAGCTTCCACAATTTCCATGCAAATGGTCTATTTTTCTTCTAATAGATGAGAGTAAAACTATTATATATATGTACCACATTTGCTTAATCATGTTTTGAAATATGGTTGATATTATGAACATAAGATGACTGGTCACTCTGCCTCAGTTTCCTAATTAATAAAATAAAAAAAATCCATTTGCTGTGATCTAATGTCTCAACATATTTAGATTCTTCCAAAATTTACAATGTATCCTATTTGTTATGTATAAATGTCAGCTACGTGCTACTCACTTGATTAAAAAAAGAAGAACTGATTTCAGCCTAGAAATGACATATTTCAATTTTCTTTTCTATCAATATAAACTGTCAGAGCTCCAGGGACTTGTTTGCTTTATCCTTTCAAACAGCAGCTTATGTAGTTGGCTTATCTTTGCTAAATGTTCTTCTTTAAGCATGGTAAGAGGAAGAGATTCTTGATTCAAAAATTATGATGAGAAAAAGAATTGTTCTGAAATGGAGATTCATAAAACCTGAGAAGCAGAGCCTTTCTCTATGAGAGACCTGACTGGTGTCAGTGTTCTGGGCTTGCAAACATAGGTAACAAACATAGATTCTTCTACAAAGGTAGCTTTGTCTGCAAAAGTATGTGTGCACCAAGAGACAAACAAGAGTTCTAGGTTATCTGGCACGAACACTTAAAATATTGAGCAGTTTTGTCACTAGAACAAATGTTCATATATTTTTAAAAGCTATATTTAACAGAGCCATTTCTCAAGGTTAGTAGAAATGGCAAATGTTCAAAGAGAGGGGATCTCTTTCCAGCACTATTTATCCTTCAAGTTGCAGAGAGAAAAAATGATGAAAGAAAGCATCATAAATTAGGACCCTGGCAATGACTTACAAATGCAATAAGGTCACTTCAACCAAAACAAGGCATTTTCTTTCCGAACAATAGTGAGAAAACATATTACAGATCCAACTTGGACATTCATGTGTTTTTGTTGTTTTGAACCATTAAAGGCAAGAATAAGTGGAAAGGTTATGGTGATTACTGTTACATGCATTTAAATAAGGGCTTCTTATACCAATATCCAGTTGGCAATAGTATAACAACTACACATCTATGCTATGACTGTAGAACTGTCATTCAACTAAATCAGCCACGAAAAAAGAAGCCCTTAAATTGTTGGCTTGTTTGTATTTCCCAGAAGTGGTTGGTTCACAACGCATTACTAATAATTTCAGTAACTGCCCTGATCTGAGATTTTACAGTCATTTACTTCACACAGTCATAGTAATGTCCACTGTCTCCCAAGCCAATTTTTATATTGTGCCTGTGTTCACTGCCCATCCAAAGCCCAGAGGTGGCCAGGCATTGGCCCAGCCGCTCCCTCTCTCCGTACCTTCTATGATATACACGCACTCCCGGTCAGGGGGGTACTTGCTGGGGTAGTTGGGAGAGGTGAAGACTCCTCCCTCTGCATGCTTTGTCCATGTTCCACACTGCACTGACTTCTGAGTTTCTGAGGTGGTTTGCTTTTCTGTGAAGCCAAACAAAACACAACAAAATTGAAAAGGAACCCCAGCCAATTTTCTATAGTACTCAAAGTAGGGAGGACATTCTTCTAACATCCATTAGTAAATTAATTTTGCAATGCTCTCCTGATCAAAACCAATGAATTATATTCTCTATATTCCAGAATATGTGGACATCATGTTAGGAATATGGGAAATAAGGAAATAAGGACTATGGATATAAGGAAATGCCAAAGTAATTGCAGGTCTTCCACCAACATTATTTTTTTTTCCAGAGAAACACACCTGTTCCTTTCTTCGTTGCTCCAGACAGATGAAGGATGATTAAACTTGCTACAACTGAAACAGAAACAGAAAGATTAGAGAGAAGCAACACACATCCAAACGACCAACTCCTACATCTCTATGAGCACAACCAAATTCAAACATAAAATGATACCAAAGCAGCTTATTTTGGTCATTGTTGACTCAGAGCTTGCACAAACGAATTCAAAATGTCCAAAGGGGAATCTGAGTGCCCCTTAAGGAAGCACCATCCGGAGTGGATGAGACCCAAACTCTGGATGGAGACCACATTCATTGTCCTCTGCTAGTGCCAAACACTCCACAGCCAGACTTCAAGATGCTCACTGCTATTTAACTACTTTTGGCAAAGGCTTTGGCCAGATCTCCCAAGAAAGAGGGGGGGGGAGGGGGGAGGGGGGAGAAACAAAAGAGCAAAACAGGGAGTACACCATGAGAAAGACCCCCAGGACAGATCTGAACACACTGCCATGTGGCTGCATTTTTTCCACATAAGCATGTCAGCAGATGCCGACCGGCGGGGGAGGGGAGGGGAGAGGACCAATGATGGTGTTGTGGGTGGTAAGCAGCCTGAGAACATTGCTTACAACCAGGAAGCAGACCCCAACCGGAGAACTTTCTAGGCTGTGAATTTTGCCCTTTCTAACCTTAACGCTGGTTTTGCTATTCAGGATTATCCGGAAGTGGGAGACGATTTGGGAAAAGTGATTTCTAGAAGCACCCACCGAACCCTTCGTGCCAGTCGGTGGTTTCCCAAGAAACCTGAAAGGCCACTGGACTCCAAAAGCCTGCTTTACTCCTGGGCTTTCATTTCCTCAACGTGATCAGACAGCCTGAAACTACAACACTCCTGCACTTCCCCCTGTTCTGTTGTTTACTGTGCTGCTCAATTACATAAAAAAGAAGACTCTCCCCCGTGGCAGGTCACACAGATGTGAGAAGAGGGCAGGACACAGTCTAGCATGGTTTCCGAGGGCCAGACGCCCGCCGGGGTGGCAGGTGCAACCTAGGCTGCTCTGGACTGGGACTGGGAGAGATGATCCCATCCACTCCCTGCCTCTGCCTGTCAGACAGACAGACAGACAGACAGACAGACAGACAGACAGGCAGGCAGGCAGACAGACAGACAGGCAGGCAGGCAGGCAGGCAGGCAGACAGACAGACAGACAGACAGCTCGCCGCTGCCCTGGTTATGCGTCTAACTCACAAGAAGAACAAGGGGAAACATCGCAGCCTGCCATTCTACCCCCCACGCGCACGCACACTCACATGCATACTCACACATGCACACTCACATGCACACTCACACTCACACATGCACACACATGCACACTCACACTCACATGCATTCACACACACGCACACTCACACATCACTCAGACTCGCACACTCACATACACTCATACATGCTCACACACATGCACACTCACACTCGCACATGTACTCACACACACACTCATTCGCACATGCACACTCACACATGCACTCGCACACTCTCACGCGTGCACGTGACCGCCGACACCCCAGCGTGCCCTGGCTCCCCCTGGCCTCTGCCCCTGGACTCCCACGAGCCCCACCGGAGCTGGGGGGCCACGCACGCACCTCCGGGCCGGCCAGGCGGCTCCGCCCCCTCCCCCCGCGGCTGTCCCCTCCGCCTGCCGGCCCCGCGACACCCCAGGGCAGACAGGAGTGTGAAGGGCAGCCCTGGGTTCAGGGGCGCCCGAAACGCCCACGGAACCGGAAGACCCCGCCCTCGGGGTCCTCGTGTCCCCCACCCTGGACTCGGGGTTCGCCCGAGTGGGAACCCCCCGCTCCCCGCCGCACCCCGCTCCGCGGACTCTGGGTCCCCACGGCGCCCGGCTCCCGCGGGCTGCGGCAGGACGGAAAGTTCTCCCCGGCCTGCGGGGCGGGCGCTGCAGGGTCGGGGTCGGGGGTCCCGCGGCGCCGGGCCGGGCGCGAACCCGCGGCCGGGCGGGAAACACTCACTGAGAAGCACACGGCGTCCATAGACCATGTCTGTGCGTTACACCAGAGACTCCGGGCTGCACGAATTCCATCTAGAGTCGGGGTGCGTCGGTGGCGCGGGGGAAGACGAGGGGGTCCCGAGGCGTGGCAATCCGCGAGCCGGGGTGGGCGCGGGCAGCCCCGAGCCCGCACGCCGCGGCCGGCCCCGCCGCGCCGCTGCTCCGCCCGGGGGCGCGGGGCCTCAGCGCCGCGAAGCCGGCGTCCACGCCGCGGGCTGGCGCGGGGCCTCAGCGCCGCGAAGCCGGCGTCCACGCCGCGGCGCGCTGCGCTGGCCCGGGCGGCCTCCTGCCCGCATCCCCGCGGCGGGCGCGGGCCGAGCTCGGGCGCCCGGGGCCGGGGCAGCCGGGGCGGCGCGAGGCGAGGCGGGGTGGGGGCGGCCGGGCCCCACCGACGGCAGCGACGGGGCGGCCGGGCGGCGGCGGGGGAGGCGGCCGGGCTCGCCCAGCGCCCGGGCTCATCGACCGCGCGCGGCCGCTCGCAGCCGCCCTCCCGGCGCCAGCCCTGGGCGAGGGCGCGCAGGCTCGGCAGGCGGCACCGCGGGGTCCGTCATGGGCTCGCGGGCTCCGCGCGCCGCCTCCGCGCGGCGGGGTGGGTGGGCGTCCGGGCGGGGGATGGAGGAGGGCGGGCGGGGAGGAGCGGGGAGGGGGCGGTGGGGTCACCCCCGCGGGCGCCGCTGGCCTCGCCCAGGACCCCCCTCCAAAGCCGGGTGGACGCAGGCGGCCCGCGGCCCGCGCCCTAGCGCTGGTGCGCGGTGGAATGGGGCGGCGGCAAGGACGGCGCGGCGCCGGGGACGGGGAGGGGGGGCTTCTGAGCCGGAGCAGGGGCGGGGAGGGGGGCGCTCCCGAGCCGGAGCAGGGGCGGGGAGGGGGGGAATGGATCAGCAGCTTCGCCAACCCGGAGCAGGGGCGGGCGGGAGGGAGGTCCGCCGCTTGGCCAACCCCAGAGCCGGGGCTCGGGGCGGGGAGTGGGGAGCACCGGCGGGGGGGTGGGGGGGGAGAACGGCCCCGCACCCCCTCTGCCCGCGCCTCTCCGGAGCGGGACCTGCCGCGTCCGCTCCCTAGCCCGCGTGGTTTGTTTACTTTTGAAGTCCCCCCATGGCGATCGCCCCCCAGCCCTGCGTCTGCGGGACGCCGGGGAGGGGGGAGGACAGCCCCCGGCCCACCGAGAGGGCTTCGCGGGGACCCGGCCGCCAGCGCACGGGGCGGAGAGGACGGCGCCGGCTGAAAAGTTTCCCTGTCCGGGGGTCGCGCGCACCGCGCGGCTGGGCGCACGGGGCCCCGGGCTCGCGCGCTCTCGAATTTCACCGCTCCCGGGTCTCCAAGTGTGGGAAGGAAAGCGCCTGGAAGCCGAGCGCCGCTCCCCGCCCCGCGCCGCCCCACCCCGCGCGTGGGGCCCGGAGCACCGCCGGCCGCCGAGGGGGAAGAAGGGCTGGGATGAGCCTGAAGCTGGAGCCACGCCGCGGGGAGGGGGCGTCGGGTGGGGGAGCCGCTCCCCCGCGGTGCCCAACAGTGCACACCCCCAGCCTCCCGCTGTGGTCAGTGGCCGCGCCCCCACGCGTCGGCGGGGCCTCGCGCGCACAGGCGGCCCGGGGCCCGCATCCCGCGCTGCGCCTAGGACCCGGAACCTCCAGCCGCCCAGTCCCGCTGCGCTCCCGGGAGCAGGCGGTGAGGAGTGGGGGACCCCGAAACCCCAGGAGGAAGGCAGGCTCGTGCCCAAAGGCCAGACCAGGGCAAGCCGGGCAGCAGATACAACCCCGGAGAGGCGCTGGGGCGGGGTCCCAGGGCCCCTCCGTGAGCCTGCAGCCCAGGCAGGGGCAGGGCAGGGCCCGGCCTCGCCCGGGCCCCCCAGCCTGGCTCCTGGGTGAGCGGGCGGTGGGGGAGAATAGGGAGGTAACGATCTCATCATCACCCAAGACGCCCTGGGTGCGGGCGCAGCGGCCGCCTGGAGTCTGGTGCCGCATCTGCGCCCGGGTCTCAGAGAGGAAGTCCTTAACAGAGGAATGAAAGTGACCAAGTGTGCGAGTGTGTGTGCGTGTGTGTCACTGCGAGCACACTCCGCCCGCCATCTCGGCCCAGCTGTGCTGTCAACGCAGCCAGAGACCAGAAAGCCGCTCCCAGTCCCGGGCGGACATCTGCGGAAACGGGGCGCGTCCGCCCACGCGTGTCCTAGCCACGGCGCTCAGCGGCGGCGGCCTCGGCCCCGTGACCGCGCGGGGGGGGGGCGCCCGGGCCTGGAGTGGGGTACGCGGGGGGGGGGCCCGCCGGGCCCCGGAGTGGGGAGCGCGTGGGGGGGGCCGGGCCCCGGGTGGGGCGCGAGCGGGGGGCGCGCGGGGTTCAGGGAGTCCCGGAGTGGGACTTGGGGGTGCAGAGCTGAGTTCTGAGAACCCAGGCAGTGTGGAGCGGCCCAGGCCGCCTCCCAAGAGGAGCCGCTGGGGGGCATTTGACTGATGGCAACTAGGGATGATGGTGGACTGGAAGAACCGAACCGTCCCGAGGAGTGGTGGTCATTAATTTGTCACATCCCACGCGAGCCATCTTGACACGAGTACGATTATTCAAGGAAACGACGACGTTTTGGAGAGGTGTCCTGCATGCATCCATATCGGGAACACAGCGCGAGGGCCGCTGTCTGTCTGCCCTTCCAGCCCCAGGTCCATCCCTCCGTCCTTCCCTCCTCTTTCCAGGAGCTCTTTTTGCCCAAGACACAGACAGGAGTTGAGAACCCCAGCCAAAGAAGTGGCCATCACAAATTGTTCTAGACCGGTGGTTCTGATCTCAGGAGGTGCGGGAGGGGAAACTGAGGAAGGGAAACTCCCAGTAGAAAGAATGCCAACCTTGGTCTGTGTCTTTGTTCACAGTCAAATTCTCTTGCCAGGGGACATCTCTGGGATTCTTCGCCCACCCTGAACGTTCACTTCCTGAACCACACCTCCCTGGAGGGGTGCTCCTCTGAGACCCAGCTGGGGCGGTTCCTGGGGCCATTGCTCTTCCCGTGGTCCCCTTAGGGTGTGGGTGTCATCTCTTCCTTGGAGATTCCACTCCCTTTGCACACACACACACACACACACACACACACCGGTGCACATTAACACTTGAACGCCCTACTGCTTCAGCACTGGTAAGTACCTCACCAAGAGGGGAACAAAAATTGCTCCTTTCTGAGACACAAAGAAAGAAATTGAAAACGTTCAGCTTCTCCAAGATGATTGGAACGCAAATGGCCAAATGACCAGATGTGGGTAATTTGGAAGGGACAGCGATAAGCTGATCTTGTGTAGGAGTCACCTCGGCTGCTCCAGGCGAGGGGGCTGTGCAATAGTTTCCCACGATTAGAATTAAAACAGTGATTCAATGGAAAAAGACGCACAATTCCAGTTTTTTGGACCCAAGTAAGTATCGGTGTTTGTTAAGCCTTACCTTCATGATACCGAGAAGGAAGGAATAGTTGACAAAACCGTCACTGAACTGGTTGGTGTAAGATAGCCCTTGCTCTTCCAATTCCAATGCATGTGGCTGTCGAGGTGCGTGGAATTTTCTACACAATACAATACAGCTCTAGGTCCGTTATGGCTTCTCCAGTAATTTCATCTGCAGTTCTGACAACAGTAAAGTTTGACTATTGCTAAAAGAGATGTTGTTAGAAAATAATGAAAACTACTGCTAATACATTCCATACATTGTCTATATATTTATTGTTAGTGAAGTAGCTAACATCTTAATGTGATGAGATGTACATGATTGACTTTTCCTTTTTATTAACTCCTCAATAGTCCAGTCAGAGCATTATTTTATCAAACATTTGTTAAGAAACAATTCACTTGCAAATGGTGTTCTTGAAAATCATCTGCAATAATCAAATAATCAGAGATCGAACTTAATACTGATGAAATAATTTTTATCAGCCACTTGTAAATGTATCCTAACGGAAGAAGAAGTCAATATGAAATAGGTTAACATTTTTGAAATTTTACATTTAAACTAAACAGGTCATCTCACAATTGTGAAGAATTAATACCTGAGTTAGCTAGCCAAACATCAGCTTCAAGTGAGCATTCATTTTCATAGCACTTCCTAATTCAATGAATTTTAGCCAGTATTTTTTGATATGCAATGCCTAGGTTGTTTTTATACTTTTTGATGACAGATACTAAGGTCCAGTTAATCAAACTGTTAATTTAACAGATAGATTAATTTTAAGATTAACAGAATCTTAATCTTAAAACTCTTCTAAGCAAACTGAAGAGTCTTCAGTTTAGACATTGCTCTAGAATTAATGAAGAGAGGCGAAGAACTAAATTGTATTTATTTTTTAATTTACTTTTATTGTCAAGGTGATGTACAGAGTGGTTACATTTGTCGAAATTGTACCCCCTCCCTCATTTTTCTCCCACTTTTCCTCTGCCCACCTCCTCAAGTTGAACAGATCATTTCCAACATAGTGTCTTGTAAGTATTGCTGTTTTATTGGTTTGCCCTTTGTCCTTTGTCTCAACTAAATTGTACTTTTTTTTTTTAGATTTTAATTTTTTTTATTGTGGTGACATACAGAGGGGTTACAGTTACATGAGTCAGGTAGTGAGTACATTTCTCTCATTCTCTTCCAGTTTTTCCCTGCAGATCCGGCCCCCACCCAGTATAGCTCATTTCCAACAGAGTGTCTAGTGGGTTTCACTGTTGAATTGGTTCATCCTTTGTCCCACCATTTTTGTGCTTCCCCCTTCCCCAATAAGATAAAAATACAGACAAGACTAAAGGTATGGAAATCAAGAATGTTTATGGTACCTCTGGTTATTAGAACAAAAGAGTAAGTTAAGAAATAAGAAGGTAGGAAGTTGGACATATTGATTCATGCCCGTGATTGCAGGAGGATTCTGGGTTTGAGGACAGCCTCTGCCACCCTATCAGCCCCTCCCCCAATCAAGTGAAGAGAGTGGAACACTTTCATGTCATATTCAGAGATTTTCTTTGTAAAGTTAGATGGTTG